CCCCCCCCCCCAAGACACCCAAATGCATATACACATGCGCACATGTAGGCAACATCCATGGCTCCCTTAAACAACAATTTGGCCATGACACTTAGTGTTGGCTGAGACCTCAACAAAAGGGAGTGGGTCAGTGACAGCTGGCAGACTGCAAGCTAAATAGCCACCCTCAAAACGAGCGGAAATCACATGGTGGCAAAACAAACGTGCCACCTACCCTGATGGGTGTGGTATGTGGCTCTGTGGGTTCAGACTCTGTGCCTGTGATTGAAAAGTCACTACTTCATATCTCATGACTGGTGAGTGATGTCACCATTTTAGCCCTTGAGCAAGGTGGTTTTGCCCCAAGGTGGTTTTGCCCCAAGGACGCTGCTGCCAGCTGCCAGATATTTTCAGAAAATGATTTTTTTTCCACATCTGCATTTTACCAATCAAGTGTCCCCTAACAACAAACACACTCAGAGCACCTGGACCATGGTACTAGCACATATTAACGTGTCAGGTTGCCTTAATACAAGCACAGGAATGAGGTATTTGTTAAAATTGTGGTGAATCGTTAAACTGTTCCCTGCCCTATTGCTGTGTCGAGTGTGAAGTGCTCTTTAAAACATGCACAAATGACTCACCTGGTGACTTTTCAAATGTTTGCTCCCGGAAGCGATACCTACTTGTGACTGCATGTTTGCATTTCCTTTTGTGTGAGAAAGATATGATGAATTTGTTTTGAAATTTCTGTTTTCTACTGGATCCAATATAGAAACTTTGAAATAAGGTACATTAAAATTTCACTTGAGTTTTTTCAGGCAAGTAGAAAATGAGAAAAAAAATTGGTAACATTTTACTTGATGGGGCACAAATAATACAGTATTATGCTATTAGTTTGAGGTTATCTAATACAAAAGTAAGTCTTAGTTACATACTGATCTCATGTTAATTCATCATTAATGAATCATGACATGTTTTATCAAGCAGTTACTATATTTATTTTGTCTGTTAATTCTGTAAACATTTGTGAACTGCTGAAGGAAAAGTAATGAATAACACAAGTGAAATACTGATCTCACGTTTGTTCATCATTAATGAATCATGACATCTTTTATCTAAATTAGACTATACTTGTTCATGATCAGTGCATGAGGATGACTTCAGTAGTAATTGACCTATTACTAAGTATTTGTGCCCTTCGAGTAAAGTGTTAGATGATACTTCAAAATGAAGGCAAATTGTGTAGCAGTTTACGATTAGCTACAAAATTAACACAGCTAATTTACAGATTGGTAACTCTCATAGACAAAAAGTCATGTGTGTTCTATCATTAATTCTGTTCTATAGTAAAGTTCCCATATATAGAATCAGTTATCCCAGAAGTGTCATACTAAAACAAACAGATTTTGAGGGGTGATACTGCATTTTAATCCCTCTGATGGTCTTGATGTCCATCACGTGTACAAAAAAATATTTTCAGAAAAGCTAATTTTGTCCTATACGAAGAATTACATTTTTTAAAACAAAATCACAGGGTATCCCATAATAGTATACTGTCTAAGTTAGGGGTGCAACGATTAATCAACTAAGTTGACTAAAATCGATTACCAAATTAATTACCAACTAATTTATTAGTCGATTAGTTGGTGACATCATCACGTGTGTTTCTCACGCCAACTCTAAATGTTTCAATATTACCACTCATTAGAGCGGTTAACCAAAGCTATAGTAGCTTCAAAAACAAAAACCCTGAAGTGTAATAGTATTTCACACTAAACTCCAAAAAAAGGTTGTCAGCTGCAAAATTTGTGAAAGTTGACCTTAGCTTACATTGGAGCACATACTCTATGCTCGAGCATCTACTGTAAAGAGGCAGCACTCTAGCTCATTGGATTAAGAGGACTCATCTCGGTAAGTCAGTTATGCTAGTTAGACAGTAATCCAATATTAATGTTAAAAACCATTCGAATTCATGTTATGAGCTATAACATTTTCTATTTTGAAATGCATATTCTCTTGAATTGATAATAGAGTTGGATAATGTCGGCATTACACCTAACGACTTTTCAAGCGATTTCACTGTTGCAGAAAAATTTCCCTGGCCTATACTGTTATACTGATGTCAGGTATGCAGTATAGGCTAATACAAAGCGCAAGTGTTGAGAGTGTGTGTGTTATTTTCAGTGGCGTGGACTGATTAGGCATATGTAAATGTTTCTGTAGTTTTGCCTTAAAATAGCCTCACATGCTGATTTTCCTCCATTTCAATACAGAACTGTGATTGTAAAGTTTAGTTGCAATGGAGTGCAGACGGACAGCAGAATGCACATTTAACTTACTGTAAAAATTTAAATTTAAATGGATTGCTTGTTTTGGTATATTAAATTGCTGTTACATTGCTTATGCTTGGTTTAAAATTTTAATAGGACAAATGGATATTGGATTTTTTACATTTTTTTGTATTAACAGGAACGTTCATTAAAAGAGTGCATTTTTTAAATAAAGTATTAAGTTCTATTGTTTTGATTGTTAGCAAATGCATAAAACAACCTCATGCTAAATTTAAAATCTGATAGCTGATACCAAATAAGTGTTATTCGGTAATTGGGCGATTCATTCGACTAATTGATTATTCGTTTCAATAATCGATACATTGATTGACTATCAATATAGTGGTTTGTTGCAGCCCTAGTCTGAATCATTGATTTGAAAACCAAATGGATTCAAAATACACAATCAATGTATAATTAATTGTGTTGATCGTAAATTGGTACTGGTGATCGTGTAGGTCAGAAAAAGATGATGTCAAGGCCATACTTGCCCTATTCCAGGATATCTCCAAGTTGTCATAAATTGCTTTACAAATATTTGAAAAAGGGAACAAACAACCTAGCAGCCAGTGCCACTAGAAAAAGTAGGTACAGAATAAATCGGTCGTAGTCAGTTTTGTTAACTGGAAGAAGGGTGGCCAACCAGTCCAGCTTAGAGGCACCTGACACCACTGCAAATCTTGAGCAAATGCCCACGCACAGCAACAGTGTCTTAAGAGCCTAATGGCACAATACACAGCCTAACAGTTTTTCTTGCCTCAGTTTACTTAGTGGGACACATGGAAGTCTTTGTTTGCCACAATCCTTTTCAGGTCTTGCTCGTTCTGAGTTGTGGCCACTCAAAGCAGCTCTTTTACCTGTATATCCATAAGAACAGAGTGATGTTTTGACTTCACTTGTTTTAGTGTAGAAAAAACTGATTCATAGACACAAGTTGATCCAAACGTGTGTAGAATCCACACACGCATAGTGATGGACTGGTGTTAGGGTGGCGGCCCTAACAATATGCTGTGTGCAGAATTATTAGGCAAGTGTGTATTTCACTTGTATCTTCTCAACCGACCAACTTTGAGTCCAGGTGAATCTCTAATTAAGAATCAACTGTTTAAAAACAGCAAAATGTTCAGTATTTGGTCTGAATACTTTCTCTTTGTGTAGAAAAGAGTCTTAAATATTTAGAGTAACTTCCGTGCAGTCCGGGGGTCTGTTTCAGGAAGCAGGATTTCTTGGTTAGGCGGATAAGTTGTCAAATTTAAGGTAGTCTGGGCTAAATGGACTTTATCTTTGTTCACTTATATTTACCACAGACTACCTTGAATCCAACAAGTTATCCAGCTAAGCAAGAAACCCTGCTTTGTGGAACTGGCCCCAGATTGTTTATAAATGTTCCCCTTCTTATTTGTTATTTGAACTTCACGCACTGACTTACCCGAGTTCTCTCTCCCCTATCGGACGGAATGGTTGCCAGTCATAAGCCCTGCCCATCTTCCTGAGAGTGGAGAACCCCCTCGCTCACTTAGTAAAACGGACTG